GAATTCTTAAATTGTATGACGATTCTGTTTCTGTGTCTCCCTGTTATATCCTCAATGTCCAACATGGCTTTTGCTGCATAAGTAGGTGCTCACCAAATGTTTACCGAATTGAATTTCTATATAGGTAAAAGGCTGACTGAATGGTCTCTTTCTAATATAAAATGCTAAGGGCCTCTGCAAGCAACTAATTGAAGAGATGAGACCACCAGTAAGTTATAATCAGCTTATCTTCTTTAGGTAGAAGTTTCTTCCTTGAAGGCCGTTTCTCCCCAGCCTTAGCCTGGCCCCTATTTGCTTTACATGAACCCCATAGGTTTAGAATTGGTAGATCATCCCCTACTCAGGTTAATTACTCAATTAACTTTCAGGTGCGTTAAGCACACCTTGCTTGCAATTACACAGATATTTAAAAGAAAAACTATAAAGGTGGCCCATATTTTCAGAAAGTTCCTTGTCTAGAATATCTATCTTTCTTGGTGTCATTTCTAAGGCTTTTCAACATGAGTATGCCCATCTCAGAAAATGCCCCAAATTATCTATTGATAATAGAAAAACTATCTTGATATAAATATGCATATATGTGTATATATATATTATATTATGCACATATATTTTATCAAGCCAATACAAAGTGTATAAAATTTCCCAGGATTTTCATTAGTAGACTGGTGCTGGAGTCTCACTCTGATCACATGGCAGATGGCTTTGTGGAGGGCATGAAAAAGAGGGCTCCTCAGGGAAGGTAGGAGTGTCACAACTCTGTGGGGCTGACTATAGCTCATTTGTTCACTGCTTTCTGCATATTTCAAATTGTTGTTTTTTTTTTATTTGTCCAGTTAAATAGATGTATCTACTATCTAGTTTTAACTAAACTAACCTTCACAAAAAGACACATGGTTTAATGAGGTTCCTGCAAAGAAACTGCAGTTTGAAGATAATACTAATCATGAAAGCACAAGAGAACTTTGAATTCTCTGTCAGTCACATTATGGGGTAAGGCAACAATGACAATCTAATCCGATCTCTCAAGAAACCAGGGAAAAAATAATTGGAAATTATCAGAAGACTATTTGAAATATGGAACCCACAACTTCTAATGAAAAAATCTAAACCTCTTCCCAAGAGCGTGTTGAGTTTCGAAATTATTAGCCAGTGACCAAACATTTTTATAACTTAAAAATGAATAAATATTTATATGTAGGGGGTTGCAAGTTCAAAAAAACTGAGAAGGGACATAATCAAAAATGTTCAGAGACCACTGGCCTATTCTTGCTTCTAAAAATATTTTTCATTTCTTTCTGATTGTCCTTCCTAATTGTATAAAACTTGGAAATGTAAGAAAGTATCAAAAATAAGAAAAAAAAATCACCCATATTCTTACCATCACAAAATAAACATTTGTATTTGGTGAAATGTCTCTTCTATCATAACTAGTTTATATAAAATGTCTTTCATAGAAGGAGGCTGAACCAACAGGAAAAAAACATCACAGAACATCATGTTCCATTATAGGTCACTTTGGTCTCCATGGAGTCCAAGAAGGTATATCAGAAATCCAGCTATGGGCCTGGTTTTGAACATCTGACTAACAAATTTAGGATGTTTCACTTTACGTGGGCGCACCCTATGATCTCATTCCAGGTTATAAAGTGAGCACCATTATTATTGAGTAAAAAGAGATTGGTGCAGCAGCTCATACGCTATCCTGCTGACTACATTAACTGGCTCATCTGGGCCCTCAGTGATATGCCTAAGGAGTCACACTTAGATTCCTCAGATGCAGGGTAGCAGGCCTCCTCCAGTGTTCGGTAATCCCGAGGAATCTGGAGCATGTCTATCAAATGCCTTCCTTTAGGAAAGAAACCACACTGTAGGTCCTATAATCACAGACCCTGCCCTGGCTTATGTCAGCATAAACACACCTCTCGTTACAGAAACCACCCTCAGTTTCACACTCAGAAGCTTCTCTAAAAGTTCGTTCCTCATCCCCACAGTGAGACATAGCTGGTATTTGAATAATCTCAACACCCTCAAAAATAACTTCTGACAATCTGACTCAAAGCAGAACTTTCATAGGTTTGGCAGGATTTCCAGTTCTAAGATTAGATGTAGCATTCTCCCCAAGCTTTTGGGCCTCCCCCACAAGACAAGGGAATAAGACCCCTTCTAAAATCCGGATGTTATAGCCTACACCAGAGGATGCAGAATCCTATCATGATTTTTCTCTCCCTCACTTTATGAGGCCCTCACACTCGTGCTAGCCTGCATACCAGGTTGTCCAGTTGTTGTCCAGTACTTGGGGTACGAAGAGGAATTTTTATACATACAAAGGCTAAAGAATACAAATCCCACAATCTATTTGTTTATTTTTTATTTTTTTCTGAGACAGGTTCTCACTCTGTCATCTAGGCTGGACGGCAGTGGTGTGATGACAGCTCACTGCAACCTCCGCCTCCTGGGTTCTAGTGATCCTCCCATCTTAGCCTACTGAGTAGCTGGCACCAGAGGTGCCCACCACCACATCCAGCTAATTTTTTGTATTTTTGGTAGAGATGGAGTTTCACCATGTTGCCCAGGCTGGTCTTGAGCTCCTGAGTTGAAGTGATCTGCCAGCCTTGGCCTCCCAAAGTGCTGGGATTACAGGCGTGAGCCACCACCCTCGGCCCCATAATTTAAGTATCAAGTTCCTCTCTCGTAACCTTTAAACCAGATCCAATTTTAATGCATGCGATTTAAACCCACATTTTTTAAAGGATATTTTCTCCATATGTTTTAGATCGTTTTTAAGGAGTGGAACTGGATTTGCCTAGAATCGAAGCAAGCAAAGGCACCCATGTGATGCCCCCAGCTGATGTGAGGGGCATAGATGATGTCAAAGCGAAGCTAACTGACCCATTCCAGCACTGAACCAGCAACCCTGACTTCCAGGCCACAGCCATCTTTTCAAATAAAACTTATTCCAAACCCTCAGATTGTTTCCTCCCCCTTAAGCATGTTTTGAAGCAGACCCAGAATGACAGGAGAGTAAATAAGAAGTACAACAGCAAAACCACCAAACCTGCTAACATAATTTCTCCATGGATATATTCACTCCCAGGGGGCAAAATGGAGCTGAGGAATGATTGCAGGAGTGCCTTTGGCTACTTTAATCAACTTAGCCTGTATTTATTTTTGTACATCTCAATCCAAATTACTAAAGAATAATGACCCAAACCCTCTCTTTTACCTCTTTATTACCTTGTTACCCTGACTTTAAAATGTTCACTACATACACTTTTCACTACATGTCAATATTTTTATTTTCCCACTGGCATTTTGATTGCTTTTCAAAACATGTTTTGATACTACTTGCCACCTGAAATCCTGAGAGTACATTCAAAATAAATAAAAAGTATAAATAAATTCACGTAAGGTTATGAAATCAGTTGGAAGGATAGTTAAGATCTAGATTTAAAGGCTTAACTTCTCCTTTGTTCCAGGACCTGTCCAGAAAGCATCTTTTAGAACGTGAAGTCTTTAAGCAAGAAATTACAAGTTCTCCCAAGGAGGCAGGAGTACAGATGTGCTTGTAAGAAAGTAAAGGATAGAAAGATGAATACCTTTATGATTGCTTTTCTTTTACACTTCAGGTTCTCAATATGAACACTTTTTGACCCAGGATTAAAGCAAAGGGTAGCGGTTCCCAAGACAGTCTCTTGTATTGAGTTGGATTAGGATGGGATATTGGAGCTTTCAATATATTTTTTTTTAAAATTTCCTTCCAAAGCTGTTCCACTGAAGTTTCTGCAGATATTATCGGGAAGATCACTCTCCAGAAACCCAGAGGCCCTAACCCCAGAGAGATGGTTGGAATGGAAAACAAAGTTAAGAAATGGTGGGTGGAAAGTTGGTTTTTCCTCCTACTATACCAGCCAGGAGCAAAGAGAAGACATGCCTTTAATTCAACCCTTTGCCATCCCTGAAAAGGAAAAAGTGCCTTATGTTGGATATTCCTTATACCACAGAAACCCTATTAGCCTGGCTTTAGTTACGGTTTCAAAACAGAAAATATTAAAAGGGGGAAATTATGTGAGAGAAGACATTACTAATTGGTAAGATAAAGGGGACATAAATTTACCAGAATATGTGATTCCAACCTTCCGAAAATAAACTGAGGAGTTTATGAGAAGAACTAACAAATGATCTTAGCACAGGCTTACTTTCTTAACAGGTAGAAATCAAACTGCAGATACAAATTCCCCTTCCTGTGGTGCTTGGCTTCTTAACTGCTGTGTGATTGAATCTAATGCATGATTTATATTATCAGCTCTAAGGAGGCCACCTAATTTTAACATCTACCCATTCAAAAAGCTGTGAAATTCAATGACTCTACTCCCATTATCAAACTACCAGCTCCATGGTATTTCAGGAAAATGCCAATTAAGACTCTAATAGATAGCAATAAAAAACTTCTTGGCTGGGCACAGTGGCTCATGCCTGTAATCCCAGCACTCTGGAAGGCCAAGGCAGGCAGATCACCTGAGGTCAGGAGTTCAAGACCAGCCTGACCAACATGGTGAAACTCCATCTCTACTAAAAATACAAAATTAGCCAGGTGTGGTGTCACGTGCCTGTAATCCCAGCGATTTGGGAGGCTGAGGCAGAAGAATCACTTGAACCCGAGAGATGGAGCTTGCAGTGAGCCAAGATCGTGCCAGTGCACTCCAGCCTGGGCAACAGGGCAAGACTCCATCTCAACAGAACAAAACAAACAAACAAAAAACCTTCTCAAGAAAGTAATCTACAGACAGAAAGTAAACTAGAGGGGCTCTGCTCAGCAGTAGGGGATGAGAAGGACTGGAAGGAATATGTCGTAGTGGACTGGGAATTTCTTGTGTTCTAAAAATGCATGCTGGATGCTCTAATTTCCTTAGGCTACTGCCCTGTCCCTGGGGCAGTGCCCTTGGCCAGGAGGCATCTTGGCCCCTCTCCACCTCCCGTCCTGCTCCCCCCTCCGGTACCTCGATGGTGTACTGCTCAAAGATGCGCAGTTGCAGGAAGATGTCCAGCTTGATCTTCCGCTCATGGAACAGCTCCTCCATCTGCACCTGGGCATCATCAAGCTGCTGCAGGACCGACTCGATGTGGCTGATAGAACTGCCGTGGGGTGTTTTGTTGTTGGACACAGCTGAGTCCCTGTGGCAGAGTGGGGAGAAAAAGGGAGGGAGAGGCCTTTCCATGTTAAAAGTGACAGAGAAGGAGGGGGACCTTCCTCATCTGAGCAAGGTGGATGTGAATCAGTTGAGTCATTCAATAAACAGACATTTATCAAACTCCTGCTGTGAGCCTGATGCTATCTGCTTAATGAGTGAACCAAAGCTATATGAATCCTGTTTTGGGTTCACAAGTCTATTTCCAAGACTAGTTGTTCTCCTATTCCTCAAGCAGACTTGTGAAAGAAATAAGATTAAATTATGTATGAGAAAGAACTCTAAAAGGCATAAAATATTAGAGAAATGGAATGGTTCCACACTTATATGTAGTCTAATATGTATAGTTTTAACACACACATACACACACATACATCTATCACAATACATACAGACAAACATATTAAAGGCATATTTTTTAAAAATCTTCCTACTTTTACTTCACAGACTCTTTGTTAAAACAGATGATGTCATGGTTGCCAAAATTGTAAGCATGCACTTTATAAAGCTATGCTAAAGTTATGGGCTGGTGTTATTATACTAAACAGGCTCAGGCTATACTTAGGAAAGCATAGGATCTGGAGCCTGCAAACCTGAATTAGGTCTCTACTCTGATATATTTAGGCTGGTGGTCCTGGGAAATCACCTCTCTGAGCCTCAGCTCCCTTATCTGTCAAGTAGACTTAATAACAGTGGACTTAATAATTTCTGCCCTGCCCACTTCACAGTTTGCTGTTAAATAAGAGTGCGCATGAACTAAGACCAGTAACATGTTGTATGGATGATTATTACTCCTGAAAGGACACAAGTGAAGTGTCAAGTGCTGATCAGGAGAGTAAAGGCTAGATCCTAAGAAGCTGGGACAACCAACAAAGGCTGCAAACAGTTTTGATGTGGGGGTTTGAAGCAATGGAGAAACACAGTCAATAGGAGGAGGTGTAGCCTCCTCTGAGGAGGGAGAGTCTCCACAAACGTAGTAGGGAGAGGTGATGCCTTGTAGAGGGAAACTGAGAGATAAACAGATTGATTTTGCTCAGCAAAATTAGGTGGTGGTAACTATAATAGGAAAAAGATGGAGGCTAAGTTAAAGTTTAGATTCCATAGAGCCTTGAGTAAGCTAGAGCCCTAAAACTTGAAATAAACTGGCATACTCATTATCTTGTGACATCTTAGCTTCTCACACAATTTAAGGAGTCAAAGGACAAGGAGGAAATCATTTATTTCCAATCATCTCATCAGCAGGCTTTCTGAAAGCCATGTTCTTTTAGCCTGTGTTTGTCTCAGAAGCAATGGTATCTGAGCTCATTCTGTTTCTGAAGATGGCATAAGGCTAATTTGTCAAGCATCCTTCTGTCTACCATTCAGAGGGCTCCCAATTCCTGCCTCCTCACCCTGGCCTGTTTGTTGTGATACAGGCACAGTTTCTACTCCCACAACTGCATGGACATCCCCAGGCATGAAAAGAACATGAGATGTACTCAGTGCTATCTGCTATGTATTTGTTGAGGGCTTTGCTGCTGGGAGGATATGATTATTCTCCTGGATTGTTCCTCTCAGTCTTTCTCCATCACTCATCTTCCAGAAGGAAGAGAATGATTTTGGACCATTTTATGCGGCACTATGTCAGTGTCACAGTCACTAGGAATCACAGAGATGATGTAAAATCTCCCTTAGGTGCTCTAGTGACAAGTGTCAGAAAAATCACGAAGACCTAGGGAAGATGTTTCTGGTGTGTGTGAGGTATCCTGCCAATGTCCACTAAGCACCATTTACTTCTTTTTCTCTTTGACTTGCTTTGATGTCAGGGAGGGGAGCCTAGGTTAGAGTCAGGTTACTGGCACAATGAATGGTCGCCAGTGGCTCTTGGTCATATGCCTGCGGTACTCTCTGAAACCCATGGAATTTAATCTTGCAGAGCAGGCATCACACACATTGTTGCCTTTGCCATCATCAAGTAGCCTTATGCCCTTAGGCATTGTGCAGGTTTACAGTTGTTAAGAACGAGTGGCATCTCCGTAGGCCTAGCCCCACAGAAAGTGAAGCCAGCCAAGCCTGTGAAAAGTATTTGAATAGATAACACAAAGCCATCACAAAATTCTACAGCTGCCAGAACTCCTAGAGTGAACCCCTTAATTACACAGACGAAGCAGCTGAGGCCCAGAGAGGTTAAATGACTGTCCACTATTTGGAATTCTCTTCAGAAGCAAATGACAGTGGAGTTTCCTAGGGAGGCAGACAAAGCTGTCATGTATTATATATTCATGAAGATGAATTAGGGGAAGAAGGAAAAGAGGCTGTCTTGTTAGCATGCAATAGGAGGATTTGGAGCATCTCATGTGCATGTTTGGAATAGAAATTATTAATTTCTAACAGAAAAACATGCCAGGGCCTTCTAAAGGTAATTTCTCATTGTTTATTTAATTGGACAACTGGTATGGGTGAAAAAAACCGTCTCCAATTGACGTAATTCCCTCAGGCCCTAAGGCTGGCCTGGGACTTGCTGATGAGATTATTTCTGTCCAGAGCTGGCAGAGGTCCCAGCACTCAGTGATTTTGGGATAGGAACAAGTCCCTGGGGGCGGGCATCATTAGCACCATCAAATCCTATTTATACAGCACCTGGGCATGGGGTTGGTTGCTGAGGGCTTGCCTAAGGCCTCATGACACTTTATCTAAGGAGCCAGGGTCCTTGACAGGGACAGAAAACTAGATATTGATGCCAATAGAAAGGAGGCAATGGCCTGGGTAATTCTAAACAAATGAAAAGTTTTAGACAGGATCTGTCTCCTTAGTTATGTTTGTTTAGGCTGATGCCGAAGGAGTTTTATTTTCTGGGCAGCAAGGAATGGTAAAAGGTCATAATTGGGTAACAGGGAACTGGTAGGACACCACCACACTTTTTCTATGTCTTCATGGGTTCAAAGTCAAACATCAGCAAAATGATCTGATTTTGCTGACTGGGGCACTGGAGGTCAGAGTTCAGCCTAAGACCAGATGTCAGATAACACCATACTCCATAATGTCTATTTCTCTGCATGAGCAAATATGCCCTAATTCTTAATGATTTTTTACTTTTGTTATTTTTTTGTCTTTTGTTAATTTTTGTTGTATTTATGTTACTTACTGATGGCTGAATAACATCCTGAATGATAAATAATGTTTTGAAACATTAAAGTTTTTCCATTTACTATTTCATTCTAGACTCAAGTTGGGTATGGTGCAGGCATTTTTACATCTTACAGATAAAGAAACCGAAGCTCACACAAGACCACAAAGCAAGATTTTGCTGAGTCAAGACTGGGACAGGACTTATCTCACGTCTAGCCCGAGGCATTTCCCACTGGAAAGCTCTGCCCATGCTGACCTGGCCTCGCTGGGCTCCCCCAGGGAGGGAGGCGCTGACCTGAGCTGCTGGATAAGGTCTTCGCCTTCCTTGATGACATTGAGCGTGGCATCTAGAGTGGCGGTCTGCTGCTGCTGGAACTGCTTGATCAGTTCCTGGACTGCATCCACAGAATCTGCACAGACATCCTCCAACATCTCCTTCTGAAGGTCTTCCATCCATGTCCACAACTGTAGAGAGAGAGCAGAGACTCCACTCAGGGAAGATGGGAGAGGCCAGGGCTGGGGTGAGGGCAAGGTAGCTAGACTGGAATCACCCAACTTACTCTCAACCAGTCAGTGCCATTCTGATCAGCACACCTATGGGTCATTTTGTGTTTTTACATTTATATTCATCACCAGTCTTTGCTAAGTTTACTCCATTGGTGTTGACAGTCCCTAAAGACAGGAATCACCCCTGGCTTAACTTCCCTGTGGTTCAGGGAAACCTACAGGTGTGGTCTTAGAGCAAGGAGATCAGTCATCTTTGAGACACCACTAGGAAGAACAGGAGACTAGAATGAACGAATATTATTTCCTCTTTCAGAAAGGAGGAAAGGGAGTAATGTGCTCTGTGCACATTGATTCCTAGAAATATATAATGACATTGCAAATATACAAAGAATGTGGTGGTCAATAAGAACTAAATGCACATTAACTGAGCATATTCTGTACATATCCCATACTATTTTGTTCTTTTTAAAATTGCTAGATTGGTTAGAAAATTGAACGCTAAAGATGGTGGTTTATCTTAATTTCAATAAATGTAAGAGACATTTTCCCATAATATTCAAGATGACAAAATACAACTAGGTATTACTGGCTAGATAACTTTAAAAGAGCTAAGTATAGTGTTTTGAAGAAAATAAGCATTGGAAATGTTGAGGAGTTAAAATTGAATTACTGAAAAATCATTTATTGATAGGTTTTCCTCATCATACCGAATACAGGTCTCCAGTGGCCTGCCAGAGAGCTCACTTTTGACTACTATGAGAATTTTCATAAATGAGAGAGGGGAAGATGAGTCTAGTGTTTGCTTTGAAACCAGCAGTCTTAACCTGACCAGCAGGAAAGATAAGCTCAGGGCTCTACCAGGAAAAAAGCCAGTAGAGAAAGAAAACTGATAGATGGAGTCAGAAGATGCAGATTTTGGCTTTTATTCCTCCCATTACTCATGGTGCCTTTGCACAAATCACTATACCTTCGATCTCCATGACATCATGTGTAAAGCAGGTTGTGGAAAGCATGAAATAAATTGGTTAATTTCCATCTGGTTCTAACATCTTAAAGTCTTCCCTGTTAAAAACATAGGTAAATGTCTACCTCAAGAATATTATTTCATCGAGTTGGTTCTCAGTATGGTAAATAACAGTATGGCCTTTTCAATAAGGGAAGATTAAAAAAAATAAATAGAGACAAAAATAGTCTTCAAGATTTTGGACAAGTTATTCTTTGTTCCTTAGATAGAGAAGCCCTAGATGCAGCAGAAGAGGTTAACAGGAAGATTAATAAGTTTTAGAGGCTGTGAATAAGAAAGCGTAAAGAATGTCCTTTTTGTACAGGTGAGTAATCTCCTGAGTCTTAGTTTCCTTATCTACAAAATGGGAAGAACAAGATTTGCCCTGCTCACTTCAAAGACTGTGAGGACTGAACTATTTCCTTATTATTAATGCTTTAAATAAACTTATAGCAGTATTAAGCCTATAGCATTATGCTGATTGCTATAGGGAATGCAAATTATTATCCAGCAACCCTCACATTTATCAGCTTGCAAATCTGGTTGTAATTAGTTCAGTTTATTTCCTTTCCAAATAAAACACCAAACAAGTTTTCCAGACCATATAAGCTGGGATACATGTTGCTGTAAGTGTGAATATGCTAATTTCAAATCAGCATAAAACCAGGAAGTATAGGATATTGATAATGATAGCTTAATGTCACTTCATATTTTCTGGCTGTAGTTTTGTCTAGAGAGAAAACACATTTTCTAAGTGTATTTAAGTCTTTAGGGAAGAGATGATGGATTCTCTGAAAAATTATTGTACAGAAAGGCAGTGTAGCATAGTCTTTAAGAGTTTCAGGGGCTGGGTACAGTGGTTCCCACTGTAATCCCAACACTTTGGGAGGCCAAGGTGGGCAGATCACCTGAGGTCAGGAATTTGAAACCAGCGGGGTCAACATGGAGAAACCCTGTCTCTATTAAAAATACAAAAATTAGCTGGGCATGGTGGCAGATGCCTGTAATCCCAGCTACTCAGGAAGCTGAAGTAGTGGAATTGCTTGAACCCAGGAGGCAGAGGCTGCAATGAGCCGAGATCGCGCCACTGCACTCCAGCCTGGGGAACAGAGCAAAACTCTGTCTCCAAAAAAAAAAAAAAAAAAAAAAAGTTTCAAATCCTAGTTCTACCACATATTAGCTATATAATCTTGGGTAAGTTACTTGTTCTCTCTGCACCTTGGCTTTCCTTATCAGTAAAATAGGGATAATAACAGTGCTTTCCTCCCAGAGAGTTGTGATAAAGATTACAAATAAGTTGATATATGTGTATGTATTCACAAATATATTATCTATCCTACTTATCAACAGTGTCTGACATATAATCAATACTGTATCCGTGCTACATATTATTACATTTAAAATATATTTTTAGCTTAGACAACATGGTAAGACCCAGCCTCTATAAAAAAATTTTTTTTAAAGCACAAAAATTAGCTGGGCATGTTGGCACACACCTGTAGCCCCAGCTACTTCAGAGGCTGAGGTGGGAGAATTGCTTGCTTGTTCCCAGCAGGTCAAGACTGCAGTGAGCTGTGATTGTGTCACTGCACTCCACCTGGGTGACAGAGCAAGACTCTGTCTTTAAAAAAAAAAAAAAAAAGATGCTTTTGCTCCAAGCCATCTCCAGTTCCCATTAGAGGGCAGAGGGAAAGTTTAAGTACTCCTTCATTTTGTAGTTTGTATAAGATCAACATCGAATTTGGTCCTTCAAGATACTAGATTGGGCTGGGCATCTCTATTCTGTTTTTGTCACTTTGTCTCAGGATAACCGAGGAAAGCCTAGAAACTAAAAAGTCTTGATAGCTCTAAAAGAAAAAATATGTAAAGAGAGAGAGGTGAAATCGTGGACCTGGGGCACACAGTCACTGCCTGGTGGGAGCAAACTTAAATTGCAAGCTCACAGTTTTGAATAAGCACCTCTAAGGCTTAGCACCATAAGGTAGATAGAAATAAAAGTTGGTGCTACTAAACCATGAGTAGAGTCAATATCCCATTTAATAGGCTGTAATTTTTCTAGCTCTCTCAGTGTCCCATAGGTTTCCTCTGTGTATGTCCCTCTGATTTAGCCCTGAAAAACTTGCTTTGAAAAAAGTCCAAATTAGAGGGACACTTCTGCTACTACTTTACTGATTATTAAGCAGTCAGTGAGATCCAGCCAGAACAATCTTTTCTGTCAAGCTACTACAAGCCAATGTTTGCTGGAACTAATTAGGTAAAATAATGGAGCGAGTGAGGCAACAGCAACCACGTGTGCTTTTTTCCCCACTGTCTTCCACACTGGTTTCTCTCCCATGGGTGAGCCGCTTTCCTTTCTGCTTATCTAAGGTTTAACATTATAGCACTGTACCTTCTCCATCAACCCACCCTCTCCCCAGAAAAAAAAAAAAAAAAATCCCATGTTTCAGTCATTTCCAGACCCTCTCTTCTTGATCAAAATGTATGTGTACTATGACCCTTCTTTTACGGTCCCGCTCTCTTCTTGGCAATGGTTGCTTGCTCCATGCCGATATACACATGTAGATGGTTTTGTGCATTCTTTCTTACAGAAAACACATGTAGTTGTGACCAAAAATACCTACATCCAAAAGAATGGGTCCAATTTGAGAATTTCTAGAACCTTGATGGGGTACAGTTAAAGGAGCCTTTCCATGCCCTACATAAGATTAGCTCTAATAGTGAACCAGTGAGTCAGCCCACAGACCCTCGCCCGCTTGCATAGTGGGGCAGCCTGAGAAAGGGGCAACTGAAAAAGACAGGAAGGAAGCAGACAAGAGAGGAAGAGCCTAGGAGGTTTGTAAGAAAAATAACGAGGCTTACGGATGAGTGGTTAAGGAAAGAGGTCATTTTATTTCACTTTCTCTGGCTGATTGGCTGTTCCATTTGCACAGCTTGGGCAGCCATTGTGCTGACAACAACTGATTAACAATAATGGTATCAACAATCCTTAAGGATGTTGAAAGGCACACCATATCTACATGGTGAACCTCCTCTTCCCTCATTTTGAAAAGATAATTTTTCCTGGACATCAATCACCTGCTCATTTCTTAAATAAATAGTATAACAGTACAGCAAGTGAAACAGAGGATGAGGCTATTTTTGTTCTTAAAGCCATCACCCCTCTTGAAGACCAATTTAGTTTTGGTTCCAGAGTTGGTGGGTAGAGGAACATGTGTATATAGGAGTGTCTGTGGTGTGTTTGTACCTATTTGAGTAGGAAATGGTGTGGCAGAATGATTCCACAAGGTGAAACAAATAGAAATGGGTATTTAATTAAGCTGTCTAATAAAGAGCAGAGGTTGGTTACCTTGGCCACATTCCTTATTTAACTTGACTTATATTTATACAACAAAAATATCTTAAAATGGATATTTTGAAAGCCCAGTGACTGCAGTATTTCCATGGAAACACAGCAAGGAAAGAGAATTCTGTGATGACAATTTCTACAGGGCAGGTGCTACAAATGCCGTGTTCCTGGAAAAAAAGAATGAGGACTTGGGTCAATGCTTCTCCCAAACTTGCCCTAGCTCTCCAGATCAGAAAACAAAGCTGGCTGCCCTCTTGGCTCTAGGCAAAAAGAATGTATTTAAGTTCAGCGCAATTTGTACTAGTAGTGGAGGCTCTGGATGTATAAGAAAGTCCCAAGTACATGTTTGTCGCCTTTCTTTTCTGAGTAACTCTTCTGTATAAGTAGGGATGAATAGTTCTGCTTTTGAAAAATAACATTTATTGGATTGTTCCTGATTATAAATTTAAAATGTCATTGAAGAAATCTTGCAAAACAAACAAACAAAAAAGTCAAAAAATTAAATCTCCCATAACATTCTTAAATTCTTGGTATATTTACTTCTGGTACTTATTCTATATGTGTTATTGAAATTGTGTTGTATTGGATATACAGTTTTTATAATTATACCACAAGCTCTTCCTCATGTCATTAATGATCTTTGGCAATGTGATTTAGAATGACTGTGTAATACTTTACTATATAAATGCACTATGATTTGTTTCACGAAATCACCCAGTGTGAAACATTTAGATAGTCTCTAATTATTCAAGATTATGACTAACACTGTGATGAAATAGTTAGACATTTTTAACCCTCTAGGTTCCTACAATAAATAAAGAATTCATGAGGCCAATAGGATTAAGCAGACTTGAATTTGCAGAAGAAATGAGCCTGGAGGTTATCTTTTTATATCTTCCTCCTGTTTCCTCTCTGATCCTAATTAGAGTAAATCTTTTGATGTGGAAATATGGCAAAAGTAAAATTATGGACTTTAGCCTGGGGAGTCATAGGAAGTCTAGGTTAAATCATTTATGAAGGTGGATATTCAGTTCCCACTTAGAAATCTCCTGCAAAAGGGGCTTTCATTCCACGAAAATTATAGACTAGGATGACATTCTGTTAGAAATTGGCACCAAGGCAGAAACTCTGCAAATTGTGATAGGAAGGAAGAAATAGTGGAAGGAAAGAAAGAAGGAAGAAGATAGCCATAATGAGGCAGAAATGATTTACAACAGTATTTATCAGCAGTACCGAAGGCCACTTTAGCAATGCTGAGCAGAGTTTCCTTCTATTCACTCTACTCACAGTAAGAGGGAAAAGCAACCACGGCACCTCAAAATTCCCTAACAGACTACTAATCCTCTCCTGAATAAAAAGCCAGAACTTTGCCTATAGAGTCAAGAGGAAGGAGTCAAGAGTGAATGAACTCAGGAACACATAGGACCCATAGTTAGTGATGTTTGAGAGGTGATGAGTCTTGAGAGGTATTAAACAGAGTACGGAAAAATCAAACCACAGGAGTTCTTTCATGAGACCATTCAAGGACGCTCATTTCTGCCCCCCTAATAATCCATTTCTGCCTGCTATATATAGATCCTGAAGGAAAGCTCCCATCAGCAAGTTAGATACCCCACCCAGCCCCCCTATTTACAATATCTGGAGAGCTCAAATCAAAGAACTGCAATAGATTAAAATGTAATTGAAGGGACTCTTCTCTCATTTTTCTTCTTCTTTTTCTTTTGTTAGCAGAGACTGGCTTCCCATTGTCAAGTAAACCCATTTATTCAATATTTATTCAGCACCTCTATGTATCAGACACAGTAGTATCTGTATCTACATATCTAATGTCACATGTGTACTATACATATGAGCACTCCCAATTTAGTGAAGGAGAGAATCACAGCTCAGTGTGACCATGGCACCACTGATGGAGGTATATACAGCACTCTGCTCTTGTCTGGGTGAAAGTTGCAAGCACCCGGGAAGAAGTTCAAGGAAAAATAAATAATGTCTAAGTTGAGCTTTAAGTGTCTTATTAAGCCTACTTTAAAGAAACACTAAGAAAAATGTGGGAGGAAGTTTCCTACTAGGAAAAAACGAGTGTTAGTATTGTACTACTTTATTTTGTAATAGTCATCCTCATAATTATTACAAAGTAGCAGAGATTAAGAGCAATTCTCCCAAAGGTATGAAGCATTAAAAAAAAAAGATCTGGAAATCAAACCTACCTGGCACCCAAAATCTTGCTGTACTTAGTGTGTGGGAACATTTGCATGTGTGTGTACACATATATGTGCATGTGTACACATATACATGTATGTGCACGTATACATACACACACCTTATTTTCTACGCTGCCTTGCAAATCACTTAAAGGGGACCTCACACAGACTGGTTTGGATGGGAAAGTGACCAAGAGGGAACATGCAGATACAAAGTCCCAGTGCATGTTCCCTGGGAACAGCTCCTCTGTGACAGTCACTCAAAATGTTGCTTTTCTGTCCATCCTGAAAAAATAAAATAAAATCTGTATGATCAGAGAGTTGCAGATGTCTCGAATAGAATGAGCCTCACAACCACAAACCCCTTTGTATCCAGGCAGGGCTGCTCCAAATTTCTCTCATACTTTGGGACTGAGGAGAAAGAGACTATGCAATTTCCTGATAGCCTCCTGTTTGAATGAATTCTCTGACGGAAAAAAAAAAAAATTCATTCAAGTCTCTGTTTATTAGCCTGTATATAAAAGTCTTTGTGGCAAAGGAGAAAAAAGCATGGCCGTTAGAGTCAGAAAGACCTGGGGTCAATTTCTCTAGTTACTACAACCTAGCTATAAAATCATGGGCAAATTATTAATTTTTCTGAACTTTGGTTTTCCCATTTGTAAAACTGGAATTTTAAAAAATGAGAATTGTCATGGCTACGAACTAGATAGCTAGATAGCCTAGCACATAGTTTGTGCTAAATAAATTTCAGTTCTTTCTCTTTCTTCACCTGCCCCCTGTATCACACCATTCCTTCTAGTAGTATTTCACATGAATGTGACTTTATAGCTGAGTTCCAGTGAGGAAACAAGTTTCAGGTTCAAACAGGACCAAGCTTAGCAAGATGTGAGCGATATCCGGGAAGACAATAGTCAATAACTCCTTGACTATTCCTGTCTCCCACACCTCCAATCCTGGCAACACTGTGTATTTCTCAGCCAAGATCTGTCGTACCCATTAAGCCCCTGATTTGGGGTTTAGAAATGTATAAAAGAAAAATAAAAGTAAGGAGAAGGAAGAATAGAGGAGATAGAAAAGAAAAAAACAAGAGTGTAGGTCATAGGAAGACAGGTAAAATCTCTGCTGTACTACTGAGAAAGTCTGTAACCTTAGAAAAGTTATTTTCTGAGGCTTAGTCTCCTCATTTAAAAATGTGTTTAATAAAATCTATACCATAAGATTATCATGAAGGCTACATGAGATGGTATATGTGTCTGGCAAGTAATAGGTGTCCATTCAAAAATGCATGTAATATATTTTGAGTGCTTACAATAAACCAAATGTTAGGCTCGGTAAATCACCTATACTACTTCAGCTTTATTATTATTATTATTATTATTATTATTATTATTATTATTATTTATTATCATTATCAACAGCAAATAAAGAAGACAAGAAGAAGAATGGAATCTTGGATTCACATTAGAACCTTAAGGGGCCTTAGAGCCACCAACTCCAACTGCATAATTTTATAGATAAGGAAACCCAAGGCCAGGGACATAGTGACTTGCACAAGCTCATATGGTTCTTTAGCAGCAGAACCTGGTCTAGAATCCCAGCCTTCTAGCTCTGTGTATAGAAGGTGGGAGATGTAGCTAGAGGAATTCCTGAGAGCCATGGTCACTCTTTTGGGAGTGGTAGTTCCATGGAAACTGACCCTGGTCCACCACTTCTCCATGCAGCCAGCACCGCCACAGCCCTCATGAGGAACATGACTCCTGTTCGTTCATACTCCATTCCATCACCCACAGGCTCATAATTAAAAGGGAATACACATGCCTTTGGTTTCTGAGACTTTCATTAACAATTGGGTGAGCCACTACCAAGCAGAGAACCAGGCAGGAAACCCTGGATTAATGCTAATCCCCTTGCTTTATAGACACTCATCAGAGAGTGGCCGCAGGTCCCGCAGAGAGGAGGCAAATCCAGCCTCAGGGAGCTTGCCAGCCCTTCATCTGCCTGGGGAATCTCAGTTGGGAGAACATTATCTTTTCATGTTTTTCTCTGATAGGCACTGCAATGGTTTGCATTCATTCCCTCGGTGTCAGAAAAGGCCGTAACAACCAAGATTCTTAATGCATTCCCAATATTAAAATTCAACTTAATTAAGTAGGGCTACTTTTTTTTTTCCTGGGCAGCAATCAAACTTTAATTAATACTCTATTAAAGGGAATTCCTGGGAGGGGACACAAGCATGCATACACCTAATGAGTTCATCCGCCAAGGGTGTTATTACAGATGATGCTAAATGGGCCTCCTTACTGGCCACTTACTCAATTTCAGCATGTCCCATGTTAATCAGAAATGAAAAGCAATCATAAGTTTGCAACCATCCTCCTCTCTATGGGGCCCCTCTGCTCCTGCAGCAGCTTAACATAATCTATCCTTCCTTTTCCTTTCTCCACTTGGTGAATTATTCAGGCTGGCTTTCAAGCCCAGCCAGCTTCCTTGGTGGAGGGCATCTCAGTCCCCCTTCTTTCAATGCGTGTCACTCCACATTCAGGCACAGTGAGGACCAACTTTAATATCACCCTGACACAGACCTCATTAAGAAGATTAAATCCCCTGTTAAAAAAAAAATAAAAACACAGAAAAAACACAACTGTAAACTCTACATGTTCCTTGCTGGTAGCAAAGATACCTGATCAAAGTTCTGTAGGACTCTCATTTCTGACAGGAAAGAGCAACCAAGAGAAATTGGGTGTGGAGTAGGAAGACAGTCTGTGATCCTCTTACATTTCTTCTTGCAATGACTATTGCTATATCAGGGATTCCCACATTTCTCCAGCTGCAGATTGCATGCTCTAGTAGATGTCCCCAAAATCCCCTGTCTCCATGACCCCCTTTCCTCATTAGATATTATGGGAGGAAATTTTGCCCCATTCTGAGAGATCTAAATGCAGGCTATCAGGAACGAATTGTTAATATTACCAAAGTTAGGAAACGAGTAACCTCCAGACTACCCAGGACCCTGGTCAGACCTTCAGGGCCATTTTACTAGGAAGCCGACCTAACTCTGGCAGGACCGAATGCCCTCTCTCCACTAGCTCCCCTTACCTCTTTGGTGTGTGTGTGGAAGGAGACAGACATGTCCAGGAGAAGCTTCCGCTGCTCCACCCTGCGCACGAAGTCTTGGATGCGCACCTCCAGGTGTCGAGCTGCCTTGTAGATCTCCTCCGGGTCACATTCCCCCGTCTGAGCCAACTGCTCCGCTGCTTCTAGGAGCTTGTCCGCATTGGTGTACGTATTCTGCCAGCAACAACAGTGAGGCAAAGTCAAGTTGCAGTCGCGACTTCTAGCAGCCCACCCTGGGGCTCCCCCGAGCTGAAGCGGAGGGGCGTGGGCGCTGAGCCGACAGCTCCCTGATCTGGCACTGAGGTGCAGTTTGCGGAGCTGGCACGCCGCCTCTCAGCAAGCTAGCAGCCTGCCTGGCTGCTCTGCACAGGCGGGCACCAGCGAGGTGCCTCATCCACCCCTGGGATTTCTCAGAGGTGCAGTGTCCCTGGAAAGAAGTGTGGAGAGCCTAGCTCCATACCCAGCTGCTCCCAATCCCCTACCTTCAAGAAAACCCATCGCTGCCCTCACATCTCAGGCTGTAACTGTCAGGATCAGAAATAGCACACCCACAAAGACAGTCTGTATTTCTATGTGAGAACACCAGAAAAACACTAACTGGGAGACTCGCTTTGCTTTTCTCCTCAAGTTCCCTGTAACTACTGGTGTTTATCTTTTTGGAACAGAGCTATTTCTTTGGAGGGGAAAGGATCAGCAACTCTAGGGAGCTGACAAAAGGCAGCAGCCACAGTCAGAGGGAGGAGATGCAGGCTACTCCCTGCGGGCCCAGGGAATGTTTGCAGGAAGGTTGGGGAGGAGTCTGTTGATTTTGTTTATCATAAGCTACTGCATGCACACACGCGCACACACAGTTGTCCAACCCCCTGTCTGTACACACCATGGTATTCTCCAGAGCATTTTAAAAGGCAACCAACTTGTAATTATTATTCATCAGAATGGGAGCCACTGCCTTTAGAGTAGTTGCTACATTATTTGCCACAGATACAACTTTTCCTCAGCAGGCTTCTCATTTTGAAAGTCTCCTGATATGTCCTGACTTACAGCTGGTGACTCAGGTGTACATATATTTCTTAGTATCCCTAGAGTTGGCACAAAACTCTAGAGTAGGGAACAAGCAGAGCAGTCAGTATCAAACACAAAGTGAGCAGAGAACTGAAATGGATTCGTGAGCAATGACTCTCTGGTGCTTTGTTTTGCTTATGGAGACAGGGTCTCCGAGTCTGTAAGGAGTGTTTTGGACTCACTTGAAGACCTGGGTGCTATGGACTGAATTGTACCCCCCACTCAAATTCACATGTTCCCAATATCTCGGAATGTGACCTTCCTTGGAAACAGGATAATTGTAGATGTAATTAGTTACGTTAAGTTCAAGTCACGCTATAGTAGGATAGATCCCTAATCCAATATGACTGGTGTCCCTATTTAAAAAAAAAAAAAAAATGCCATGTGAAGAGACAGACATGCACACAGGGAGAATGCCATGTGAAGATGAACGAAGAAAGTGGGAGATGTATATACAAGGCTAAGAACGCAAAAGACTGCCAGAAAACTACTAAAAGTTGAGAAAAAGGCATAGGGCAGATTTCTCCCTCATATTCCACAGAAAGAACTAACACTGCTGACACTTTGATCTCAAATGTCTAGCTTCCAAAACTGTGAGAAAAGAAGTTGTTGTTATCGAAGTCACAGTCTCGTGGTGCATTGTTACGACAGTCCTAGGAAACTGAGACTCTAGGGTTGAAACTTTCAGAGGCTGTGGAGCCAGCCTCTTGATTGTACTGGTACAGGACTGGGGAAGATGGGCAGGCAAACACTTATCTTGGCTTCTAGAAATTTGGAGAGAGGTCCCAGGGGATCCATAAGGAACGCTGCTTGAAAAGCAACTTCCCAAGGTAAACATCGTTCCAATGCTGGTGAGACCGTGTTGAAAAAGAGAAAAAGTCATTTACATTGTCCCAGTGCTTCCAAGACAGGGTTGAAAAAGAGGAAAAATCACTTGGCCCCAACTGGGAAATTCATGGAAAAACAGCAGCTTCATATGAGGAAAGGAGCTTTGCCACTGGTTAAACCAGGGTACATCAATTCTGGAAAGCAGATGAAGGAAGTCATCCACTCATGAGAGACATGCAGGGACACAAGGGGAATGACAGGCAAGGGTAGACCTCTAGGGCTGTGGGTCAGGTTAAAGAAAGCTCTTGTGGGATTTCTAGTCCCACAATTTCTAGTCCATATGCCCACAGCTGATGGGAGAGAGGTATTTTAGGAATCCCTCAAATTGTCCACCTTAAATCCTAGAGAATCTCAGGATTCCCCCCACCCCTGCTCTCCAAAACCCCTAGAGATTGTAACTTTACATTCTGTAGACAATAAAAAAAAACTTGTGGCAAAGTCAAAGTGAGCTTGCTAGCCAATTAGGTTTGGGACCAATAAGAGATAAATAAAAAGCCAAACTGAAGTGTCTACTACATGTAAGGTGATCAATTTGTCCCAGTTTGCCCAGGACTTTCCTGGTTTTAGCATAGAAATTCCTGTGTCCCAGAAATCCCCTCAGATCTAGGAAAACTGGGATGGCTGATTGCCATAATACATATCCAATACTGTAAGTATCCCAAAAGTACAGATAAATATATAATGTATTTTGTCTCAAAGAAGAATAAAATCATTCTTGAGAGAAATAACATGACAATACATAAGATGGGGCAAGCAACAAACTAATAGATAATTAGGGGTTACAATTTCTTGATATGATATAGACGCTGAAGAAAAGGAGTAAAACTGAGAATAATAGTAGCTAATAATTATTAAATATTTTGCACATGACAAAGGTTGTTCTAAAGGATTTTATGCATGCTATCCCCTTTAATCCTCACAATAACCCCATGAAGTTGATGCAGCCATCATTCCCATTTTACAGATGAAGAAACTGAGGTACAAAGAATTTCTGGCCAAAGTCACATGGCTAGTAAGTGGCAGAACCAGGATTAAAACCCTGTTGGCAGGCTTCAGAGCCCAAGCAACAACCCATTAAACTACCCTGCCTCTATAAAGAATATAGGCAGGAGCCTGAGGATGGGTAGGATTTAGCAGAGAAGGAGAAGGGCTTCTCATAGCCAAGCCTGTCTTTTTTTTGCACCCAGGGTACTCTATATTTATCCCACCCCACAGCCATCATCATACTTTATAGTAACTATGTGTCTCCATGGTATCTCTCTACTGGTCTGTGAGCCCCTTAAAGGCAGGTTCAGTGTCTCATTCATCCTTGGTTCCCCTATGCCAAGCACTGTGGCTGGTATGCAATAGGCATTTACTAAATGTTTGTTGAATAAAGAAGACACAAATGAGTAAGTCTGTTTGAATAAGTTGAGTCAACCTGACTAAAATTGGAGAGTGGCAGAAAATCAGGTTGGATACGTCAGTGAAGAGCTATAAGATAGATACATTTTATAGAGAGAATGGAACAATAAAGACAGGTGGGAAGGCAATGGGGTCAGTGTTAAAGCTGGACTCTCAGCTTTGTCTCTGCCCAGCTCTCTTCCCTATTACTAGCAGAAAAGAGCTTCTAAAATTCAGACACAATCACAACTGTCTTCTTAAAACTGTTCAGTGGCTTCCCACTGCCTTTGGGGTAAAATGTCTTGACACGGTGTGCAATGCCCTTCTTCACCTGACACTTTTTCCCTTCAGCTTCAACCCACATCACTTTCCTACAAACAGCCTAGGAAGTAAATTACTTGCATCCCCCAAAACTCACTGCACTGAATCTTGCCTCTGTGCCTTTGCACATATTCTTCTTCAGCCTGAGATGCCCTTCCCTTCACTCTTGTACTTGACCAACTCTTATTCACTCTTTAAGACCCAGCTAGGGCACTGCTTCTTCCAGGAACCCCACCCTCATATCCTCTTCTCTCCCAAGGCTAGCTTATGTGCCCTCCTCTGGACTCCTAGAGTGATCTATACCAACCCTCTCCATGGTACCTGCCACTTTCTACTGCAAATGTTTGTCTTTCTCATCTCCTTAGGGGCAGATAATGTCTCTCATCTCTTTCCCTTAGTGTATGGCACCTAGTAAGTGCTCCATAAATATTTAGTAAATGAATGAATGAATTAAAGAAGATATCAACCACCACCAATCTTAATATTCCACCCTAGCTCCTCATCAACTACCCAGTACAAGACGTTACATGATAGAATTCACGTTCAATGTTCAATTTTATTTGGTATATCCTACCTCCTGGAACAGCCTTGAAATAGAAATGTGTATGGAAAATATCAACTAAAGTATTACCAAAGCAATACTTCGATTCTTGTCAATACCCCCAAATTGGGGCAAGGATCACAACGGGTTTCTGCTCATTTTCTGACCAAATCAGCAACAGCTTTTGACCCAGGGCCAGAGTCTGACCTTGCTCTGAACATATTTCCTAGGCATTCTTTGGTTTCCCAGCTTCCTAGTCTCTCTCTGCCTTGGACTTGACGCCTTATTGACATTTCCCGACAGATATGCCAAAAATGGGTTATGAGTGCTCGTATATAGATCCCTCAGCTGTTGGAGCTTTCAGGTAGGACCTGTGGTAGACAGAGCCACTGAATCACAGATATGGGCCACACCGATGGCTGCAGTTCCTGTTCTTCCCTCTCCAACACCCCATGACTGTGTCAACCAGGTATGATGCCCTAGATAATTCAGCCCTTAATTCTAACTTAAACACTCTGCTGAAGCCTCAGCCCATTACTTTTAAATTTTCTCCCCAGGAAAGAAACAGAACATTCTAGGATAATTTGTCTCTAACAGGAATTTCAGCAATACAGGTATGTTTTCAGATTCCCTGGGCTGAAGCAGAGAAGCAGGAAGCAGGCTTTTTAAAGGCAAGGGGTGGGAAAGACAGTGAATAAAAACACTCTAGAATCAAGAGGCTACTTCCTTGGTAATATGAAGTGAGAATCTTGGCTTTATGCCCTGGGAATGAGGAAGGATGAGGCCTGAAAGTCACCCTTACTATTCAAAAGAGGCAATGTAGATTGAAGAATGAGACTACCAGAGGACCAGGAGAAAATCCCCCTCGCAGTGAGCATTTTTTTTCGGGCCAGCATGGCTGAAACCAGTAGGTAATGAGATGAAAGGAAAAAAAAAATACATAAGCATTGAAGACAAAGGAGACACAAAAGCACAGGCA